GCGGTCGCGCCGCTGCTCTGCGGTGCGTGTGGCGCGTGTCCGCAGAAGAAAAAAAAGGCGATGGGAAAAAACAGAGATGCGGTGCGGTCCTCATCTCGGTTGGTGTTGACACAAATTACGCTATCTCCTCAGATCGCCTGCAGCATCAACTGCCACCGTCAGCAGCGGTGAGTGCCTTCCTTCCCCCAATGAGGCGCCGCTCAACCGACGCCGTCGCTCACACCCTCCCCAACGACACAACGAGAGACCAAAAGCAAAAGATGAGACATGTGCGACGAGCACGCGGCCGCAAGGCCTCATTGCAGCCGCCGTAGGCAAGCAAAGTGAGTTGCAATGCGCAAAAAGAAAAAAAACTCCCCAGCACACAACACCATGTTCATCTTCTGTCGTGCAATCGCGGAGGGATCATATCCCTCCACCGGCGGATACCACAGCAAACAAAATTCACACCTGAGTGAAAGTGCAAAATACACAACGTCTAAACCATGCTGCCGTTATTAATTTATTGTCAGCCTCTTCTGTGTGAATCCTCAGAAAAAACGCAACGTTGGTTGAATATTTCAATCTCAGTACTAGAGTTGACCCACAGTCCTGTCACCGTGATGTTTGATGTTAGGGGGCTGCGAGAGCAAAGAAAAATGTGAACAGCTGTGCAGCAGTGGAGGCGCGTCCATTTCTCACCGTTCCTCAATTGCACCATCGCTGCGCAGCCCGACCGCCAACATCTCTCACTCCTAGTCCAAATAACGTTGCGGGGGAAGGACGACAACCGCCGCCTTGGAAACACGGCGGGCCGTGTAATAGTGTCCGGGCAGGGTGCGCGCTGATATGGCGTGCCGAAAAATGCAGGCACAAGAAGAGCGTGATTTTTTTTTTTTTTTTTTTACTTCCCGCCAGTCCTTTCTTTCATTTTTCCTCTCAAAAGAACTCGAACACACGCACAGCACCCACCATCGCAGAGCACGTCCGCCCTGCTGAGTGGAGGTGTGAAGAAGAATCACCACCCCCGGAAAGGAAGCCGCAGCGGAGGGCGCGAAACGCACACGTTACGCAGCCGCCCCGGCCGGCGCGGTGGCTCGATGATCCGCCGTTGCCAAAAATCAGTAAAATAACAAATCAGCAAATCATTGGGCCAATTCATCCGTCAACAAAAAGAAGAAAAAAAAGGCGCCTTCCAGGAGCATCGATTTCACGCCGCATCCGTGAGGGGCGTCGCGCCCCCTCGCCGCGTGGAGGCGCTGTTGGCGGCGGAGCCGTTCCACTTCAAGGAAAAACCGCGCCAACTTTTTCGTGAAGCGCGGCTTCCTCGCCTCTTCAGTGTCCAGTCCATTTTTATCCCAGGCGCCCGCGGAGCCGGGCATCGGAGTAGATGCAGAATTGTCTCCTCGCGCTGTTCATGCGGGCCGGTTCTCACAATGTCAGGTCGACCCCCGTGGCGTGCTGTGCGGCGGTGGGCCAGTCCGTCACCGCTGTGGCGCCAAAAGCCGCATGCTGGACAGCGAAATTCGACCGGTGTCGATCCCATCGGGGTGTCGTCGCCGGGTGAGTTGCGCCTTCTCGGCGGCCTGACCTCTTTGCCATCATGGAATCGGCGACGGTACTGTATTTATGAACGGATGTGTACGTGTCATTTTGGGCACACAGTGCACTGTGCCTGGGCAGCATTCTCCTCATTTGCGGAAGCAAAGTCTTTGTGTGAATCTTCTCTTCTTCCTGCTGGGCTTCGAGCTTTACGGCGCATGGGTATTTTATCTCCATTTTTGGTCCCGTTTCCTCATTGCTGTCGGGATGCTTGTGCCTGACTTGTGTGGCCAATACCCCGGTATTTCCCGCCTGTTTGTCGCAGCAAGGGCACTGAAGAAGTGCCTTGACATCTGGTGCCGGCTGCAGCTCCGTTTTGGTACGTTCGTTTGGTCGCATGTGAGATATTGGTCTCGCTTTTGTTTGGTCCTTGAGTCCACAGGAAACGCATTGGAACGGGGTGGGCGCAGCCAGACCGTCGTATTCCTGGCAACGCCTCCTAGTTGTCGGGGGAACTCTTGCTTGTGGAAGTGCCAGAGATAAAACCGAGTCCGGCTTGTTGGTTGTACGACGCCGAGCAGAGACTGCAGGGAATGGCTTCGGCCAGGGCTGTGCATTCTGTGGCGGAGGTGCAGTCGGTGTGCCGCCTCTCGCTCTCGTCCACACCAAAGTGCGGGGCGGTGGTTCCGGTGGGGTTTCTGGCGGTTCCGGCTCACTGGGAAAGTAGAATTCCCGCAGCGCCTGGGAGAGCGCGTAATGCCGCGGGCGTTAACCATGTGCGTCACGAAACTAGTGCGGCAACTGCAGTGCTTGCCGCACACCGGGCAGTCTGCCAGGCGTTGGATAGCGGCGTGGTGGGGTCCAGCGGGAGGAGGAGGCGTTTCCGTGCAAAGTTCATTGCGTGTCTGCTGTGGGAAATAAGGGCCGCGGCAATGGCATGTGCGTGGGATGGCGGGTTGCAGTGGTCGTGGCTGCCATAAGTATTTCTGCGAAACCCCGGTGCGGAGGCGGGCCAGCGCCGCCTCTTCCCCGCGAGTGAGGGTGGAATCCGTGCACGTGGGTCCCCAGCCGCCTGTTACAGCGGTGCGACGAGCTTCTGGCTTGTGCTGCCGGGCACGAATAATACTTTCGGCCAGTGCAACCATGCCGGTGACACATGTGTCTGTGAGCTGCGTGAGTTCGGATACCTTCTTGGCTTTCGCATCACAAGCTCTGTTCTTGGGTACGCCGCAGTAGCCCAAAGATAAGCTGCATTTGCATGAGCGCTCATAGGCGCTGCAGGCGGAGCAGGAGGGTCCAGAGTCAATGAAGTGCCGAATCAAATACCGTGGGAGAAACCGTTTGTAGGGCGGTGAGGAGGGACAGCGAGCCTGTGAAGCTTGACACGCCTTATGCGAATCGCACACCACTAGGCATCCGCTAAGTTGCATGAAGCCCGCGCAACCAGAAGAGAATCGTGAGAAAAACGGCCGTGCTCGTTTGAACAGCTCTTCCTGCCGGCAAGCCCAATCCGCAACGATCCCCCTTGCCTATGAGACGGCGTTTGTCATGCACTTCCCAGGCTGCGTCTCAAAGGGATACGCAAATTTCCGGAAACAGTCGTCACATCTCCTGAACGCGCAAAATGTTCAGACTGTAACGAGTAGCAAATATTCGCCTAAGCTGCTGGCCGAATCGTAACCATATCTATATGAACAAAACGGAACGGAAAGGAAAAAGCAATGGAGATGCAGTGGCTTCGCCAGATCTTCGTTGTTTGCTCCAAGTATATTTATATAGTCCGAAGGCCATTATCGTGGCATTTTGCTGCCTACTCGGGTTGGCGATATTATTACTTACGAGAGGGAAGAATTTGGAGTCCTCCAGCTACAAGAACCCGCCGCGAGAAGGAAACAAAAAGGGCGGGTGGAGTGGCAAAAACAGAAATAAGAAAAAAATTCGTCTTACCTTTATCGGTTGCTTATTTCTTTCAATCACAGTCGTTCAAAAATTCATAAGAAGGGTAAAATCGTACAAGGAATATCTTCGTTTTACCAGGTTGTATTAAATTGGGTATTCAGCCTTCTCGCCAACATTTCACTTCACAAGCTACCATGAATTCCAATGCTGTGTCATCCAAGGCTCCCACGTTCCAAGTGCACAATTAAAGGTGTCCCAACCGTGGCGGTGGTGCACTCAAGAATAAGAACGGAATATGACTGGGATGACTTTTTCCGTCACTTCCACTGCTAAAGACATGGATTTCCCTGTGCGCTCGCCATACCAGGACGAGCCGGAATCGGGGGGAAAGGGGTCGCGCCACAATACAAAATCCCGCTCAAAAGTGTTCCTTGTGGCCTGGAGCTCTTCCAATGCTCCGAAGGCGCATTGCTTCTAAGAACTGTAATGTCTCCTAAATGTAAACCCACGGTAAGGCAAAGCTGCAATTCATTACTTCCTCTAGGCGGTTGGGTGGATCCTTCTTCCATTGCATGGAATGGGCATTACACTCCTCACACAAAACTCCATGAAATTAAAGTACGACACAACACAACATCAGCAGTAACAAAAGCGACAAGCGCGCTCTCCCACGTATTCATCGTGGAACAGGAAAAAGACGCGGACGCCCGCTCAAAATAGAAAAAAAATCACAAAAAATCAACGACGCTGCCAGAGCGGGGGTAACAAAAAACTTTCCTGTCCAGCAGCGGGGGCGCCGTGCTCTCCTCATCAACCAGCACCGTACACCGGTCAGTTCCACGTGGTGCACCTCACAGAAGGGCGTCTTCAATTTTGCAGCTCGCGCTGGATACACGGTCGAACAGGCTCAGAGTGTCTGAGCAGGTTTCACCGGCCATAGGCTGCAATGGCGGTGCGGGTGGTCGGTACGACGACGCAACGGTGGTGCCTAAGGCGTACAACGACGACGTCAATTCGTGGGGCTTCTGCGTCACCTCGTCGCTCTCCTCGTCATCGCGCAGCAGCGCCTCCAGCCCACCACGCCGCGGCTCGCGCAGCTCCTGCCAGTGGCGGTCCTCCGCGTACCACACAACGACGCCGTACACAGTGACCGCAAGCAGCACAGTGGTCAGCAGAAGCACGGTAGCCACGTACGCCCTCGCACCGCCGTCGCTCGGCGCAAGGTGGTTGGCCGCGCTCACCAGGCACAGCGCCGCAAGCAGCACAAAGCTCGCCGTGCGCATCACCGTCAGGGAGGCCGAGCGCATCATGTTCGTGAAGGCAACCACGCCCGCGCCCGCAAGCAGCACAGCCGCCATGCAGAAGTACTGGACGTCGCAGCCTCCCACGGGCGGGTGCACAGCCGCAATCAGGCCCACCACGCACAGCACCAACAGCTGGAACACGCACCAGTACACGTGGCTGCCTCTCATGTTCGTCAGCATGCCGCCGTACATCCGCTGCTGCGCTACGGGGTGCCAATACCCGACGGGGTACAGCAGGCGCTCGTGCAGCGGCTTCCTCAAAAACTGCCAGTACTTCGTGAAGCTCGCGCCCACGTGGCAAGCAATAAAGTAGCACACGCCAGCAGGAAACGCCACACCGTACAGCACGCCAACGACACCAATCACGCGGTGCTGCACGCGGGCGTCGGGCATCGCCAGTGCGGACACCGAGCCGAAGAAAATGCCGAGGTGCATCGCGTGCGCCACGACGTACGTCAGGCTCGGGAAGCGCATCGCCGCCCACGCACTCGCCGCGTCAACGCCGCGCCACCGCTGGAAGGCCGCCGTCACACCGTAGTGCACGCACCCGAACACAGCGGCGAGCAGCGCGTTGCCCACCACCATCCACAGCGGGTCAGGGGCAGCAAACACCGACAGGAAGTACGGCAGCGCAACGGTGCTCGCACGCTCCTGCGCCGAGGCACATGGCATCCTCGCAAACACGCCGAGTGCCTGCATCTCCAGGACGGAGCTCAGCCCGCCGGTCACCACCACGGCAACAGCCGCCGCACCCGCAACAACGCCGGTGATCGCAGAGAGGGCGCTGGCAGCGGCGGGCAGTGTGTTCGACCTGATCGTGAAGGACCCAAGCAGCACACCCTTGCAGCCGCCAAACACAGCCACAGCATCGCAGCGAATGACTAGCGTCTCGTCGGCAGCAATGAAGTAACCGCGGTGCACGGGCACAGCCAGCTCCAGGACGGTGGACGGATTCGTCGCGTTGCGCACCCACGTCGCGTTGCGCAGCATCGCTCCCCACGGACCGCCAAACCCACTCGGCTGCGCCGTCGATGTAGGCACAAAGCTCAGGTGCGTGCTGAGCTGCGGGTCGCGTGCCCAACGAAACGGCGGCGGCAGCGCCACCATCAGCAGTGTCGGGACGGCGCTCCCACCGCCGCGGATGTCGTTCAGCGTCAGGCTCCCACCAGCCGCCGTCGTCGTCACGGCGAGTGTCGGGCACGCCACGTCGCTCCACCACAGCGTGCTGCTCACCGACGCCGTCGGGGTCCGCGTGGGCGACAGCGCCACCGTCTCCGTAATTTGCAGGGTCTCCTTCGGACTGTACTGCGTCAGACTGTAGTGCGTCGGCGTCGGCGTCGGCGTCCACGTTGGTGTCGGGCTGCGCGTCTCCGTCAGCGTCTCCGTGTGGCTCAGCAGTGGCTTGGCGGGTGTGCGGTTGCACCCGTCCACGTGCGGCAGGTACACCGGCAGGCAGTCGCGCCCGTACCCGCCCTCAGCACAGCGGCAGCCGCACGACCCCGACATCGCCCTCGTCGCAGCAGCAAAGCAGTGCACGTCGGCGTCGCACACGCCACACGCCACGGGGCGGAATTCCCCGATGATGCCGGCGGACCTGTAGTCCATCGGCCGCAGCGCCTGCCCGTTGAGCGTCAGGCATCCCACGACGAACTTTCGGCCGGCGCCCCCAAGCGCAACGGTGCCGTCCATCACGACGGGCCCACTGCCGGCGTTCCCGTGAAGCGCCAGCGTGCTCTGCACGAGTTCCGCACGGCGCGGGTACGACGGCACCGACAGAAGCCTGCCGCTGATGCTGTTGCCGCGCACCGACAGCCACGATCCGGACACAAACGACGCCGACCCCCGCAGCACCAGCAGCGCGCCATCGGTCAGCGCACCGGCGTTGTCGTTCACTACGACGGCGGACGCGTTGGCCTCCACCCCGCTGTCGAACACCAATCCATGCGCGGCGTACACCTGGCTCCCCGACACGCGCAGCACAGCGCCCCCCGACGCAACCACACGCGCACTCGCGTACAATGCAACGTCACCACCGAACACAGCCGCGTCCAGCGCGACACCGCCACCGACAAGCTCCAGCACGGCACCGTCCACCACCACCGTCCGCCCACCAGTCATCACGGTCACGAGAGCCACGCCGGACACAACCAGCACGGACCGCACGAGCCGCAGGCCCGACAGCACAAGCACCGGTGCGTACGGCGAGGACTGCGAGCCGGGAAGATACAGAAGCGGCGTCGACCTCGCGGCAACCAGCAGGGAGTCGGTCACCGTCAGCACGGACCCCGCGGGAAACGTGCCGGTCAGCACAAGCGCACCGTTCAGCGCCTCCACATCGCACACGGACAGCTCCACCGGCCCGCTCTCGTCGCTCCCCGCCGCCACCGCACCGCGCAACGCTCCACCGCCCATCACGTACAGCACGGCGCCGTTCAGCAGTGACACGTTCTGCACAACAATCCGCACGCCGTCTCGCGCCATCCACGGCACATAGAGCACCGGACTCACGCCGTCCAGCACAACGTGGCGCAGCGTCACCTCGCTCGCGCCGGCAGGCACAACGAACACCGACTGCACCGTCACACCCTCGCGGAAAAAAACACTCAGCACAGTGCCCACGGCAGGCGGCAGTGCGGGAGCTCCCACAGGCACGCACGCCTCGCCGTACCCGCCACTGCCGCACGCGCACACGCACACACCGTTCCTCATGTTCGCCAACGCCGTCCCGGGCTCGTAGCAGTGCGTGTCCCTGTCGCAGGTGTCGCATCCAAAAAATTCGATGCTCCCAGCGTCGCCAAAACCAGCCGCTGCGTACTCCTCCGCCGTTGACAGGACTCGCCCACCAGCGTCGTTGCACGCCACCCTCACATGCGCCCCATCCGCAAGCAACAGGCCCGCCGACAGCATCCGCGGCAGCAGCGCTCGGTTGCGCACAAAGCTCAGCGTGCTCCCAGCAGCGGTCACGGCGCCAGCCGCGTAGAGCATCTCCCTCGAGACGCCGTCGTGCACGTTGCCCTTCGCCAGCAGCATCGACCCGCCGGCAAGGCTCACCGTCGAATCAAACGCCACCGCGTAGTCTCCCGTCGACAAAAAGTCACTCCGCACAAGCGCCACAACGGAGCCCGACACGCGCACAGCCCCACGCACAGAAACTGCGTGTTTGCACAGCAGGAAGTCGCTGTCAACAAACGCCACGACGGAGCCGCCACTCGCCGCAACACCGCCCTCCACCGACACGCACAGCCCCAGCGCCGTCTGTACCGAAAGCCCGTCCACGTACAGCGCACCGCGCGACGACAGCGCCACGCCGCCAACCACCAACACACCAACAGCGTCGCGGAACACCACCGCCACATGCGTGCGCGCAATGGTCAGCACACTCCCAGTCAGATTTACGTTGTGCAGCACGAGGCACGCGGAGGCGTCGCCAAGGTCGTAGGCGTTACGGTACGCAACACGCGCCTCCGCAATCAGCACCGAGTCCACCACAGTGACGCGCGAGCCCGGCGGAAATTGGTTCGCCACCAACACGCCGCCGCCGGAGCGCGATTCAAGCCCGCTGATCAACACATCGACGCGCTCGCCAGCAGACGGGTCGGATCGCCAGCCAACAACGTACAGGCTCGCTCTGCCCACGAAAGTGCAGTTAGTCAGCGTCACGTTGCGCACGCTCCCTGACATCGACTCCACGTCCACCACGACGTCCGCCGCAAAGGTCACGCCAACGTAGCACACCACCGAAGTCCCGAGACCGGCATTCAACTCCGCATCCACACGCACGTCCCGCACGCACAAGTCGGCGCCGTCGGTGCTCGGTGGGTCAGGAACAGCAACGGGCAGGCACGCATCGCCATGGCCGCCCTCAGCACACGTGCAGGCGCAGCCATCACTCGAGGCCGTCGTCGTGTACGCGGGGAAGCACGATGTCGCGAGGGTGCATGGGTCGCTGCAGGTCAGGATGGTGGCGTTGTACGCGGACGGAATGCTGTGGTTCGCCCTCTCCTCGCCGTTCACAGTGTTGCACGCGGCCACAATCGCTCCGTTTGTGATATCGCGGGAACTTTTGGGTATCTGCAGCAATGTCGGCGTGCCAGTGCTGGACATGAATCGGTTGCCGGACACAGACACCGTGGAGTCGCGGAGATTCACCGCTGGCCTCACGACAGCAAAAGCATCCGATGGGGATACGTGGCAGAGGTTGCCGCTCAACTGAAGCCAGGAGTTGTAGTAAATATGGGAATAAAAGCCTGATGAAAATGCAGCCACACTTCCCCGCATGTCGTTGCCCTGAAACACAACCGCTGACCGAGACTCCACACGTAATTCCCAAGGCAAGTACAGGAAGCACTGCACCGGCCTCGACACAACGTTGCCTCGGATCACCACAGCAGAGTTGTTCAGTACGCTCAGCGACAATGACTGGCTAGACCCTTCAAGATATATCAGCGTACCGTCACCGCCGTCCATATGAAACGTGTTGCCCACCAACGCAAACAGGGAGTGCCACGACACCCTCAGCGCAGATCTGACAACTTGGATGGCGCTCGATAATGCCCCCACGCTCTGAAACACATTGCCACTGAACACTACCGCGGAGTCGTTGCTGATCGCCAGTCCATTCATCGCCACACACGACGGGTTCCTAAGTCCCAAACCCGACCGAGGGATCAGCCTCGTGACCGCAAAGCGGTTCCCGCTGATCGTGATGTTCGTGTGCGGTGGAAACCCACCCTCCGGGCTGAGCAGCGCGTCACTGAATGTGTTGCCGGCGACGACAATGTTCAGCGACCCCACAGCGGCGTACGCATTTCCCGCCAGCAACAGAACGGCACCGTCCCTCCAAGTGCATCCATCGAACTTGACGTTCGCCACGTCGCCCGTCATCGCCTCAATGAGCACCGTCAGGCTCATGCCGCCCCCGCTGAAAGTCACGTTGCGGTAGCACAGCCACGACAACCCGCTGCCCAAAGCCTGCGCAACCTCGGGGTACACCATGTCGCTGATGCACTCACCAACCGGCAGCGGTGGCGGCGTGGGTGGCACTGGCGGCAGCGGCGGCGGCGGCGGGCCAGCAGGCACAGGCGCCGGTACACACACATCGCCGTGCCCTCCAGCAGCGCACTGGCACTTGCAGTCAATGACCGCCGTCGTCAGCGGAGCAAAGCAGTCGCCGTCCTTCGTACACTCCCCGCACACGGTAACCGTCGTCACTTTGGTGATGCCATTCGGCTCCAGTTCAGCCGCCGTCGTCAACACACGTCCCGCGACCGTCAGACATCCAGCAAAGAACCGGTAGCCGGCGTCAGCCTGCGATAGCAAAGGCCCCGACAACCCCGTCGAGCCCATCTTGCATCCCTTCAGCGTCACCACACTGCTGCTGTCGATGCTCACAGCGACAGAAGAAAAACAGCACAACATCGCACCCACTCCCACGTCGTTGTCACGCCAATCCAGCCAGCTTGAATTCTGTAATGCCCACGGAATATGCGCAGAGACAGCGCACGACACGAAGCCACTGTTCCCCACCACGCGCAACACGCTATATTCTGACACGCTGAATCCGTGGCGCAGATACAGAAGGCTTGTCCCGGAGAACATTGTATTGTTGAGCAGCGCAAAAACAGAGTGGTCGCGGACACTGAGCCTATACACGTAGAACAGGTGTGCGTATCCATCGAAGCTGCAGTACCGCACGTACAGCGAGCTGCCACGCACCAGCGTCAGCGTCCCAACCGAGTGCAAACCAAACGCACCGTACCTCAAGGAATGAGCCTTGACGTTGCTCACCAAAAGCAAGGACGCACTCAACACGACGTTGTCCAGCAACAATACGCTCAGGGTTTTGCTCACAACGCCCGGTAATTCAAATTCAGAGGACTGCAACGCGTCAACCTCCGTGACGGCAATGTCGCAGTGCTGCGGGAGGGTAAGTGAAAAAGCAACGACGGAGGACCGCATCACCGTCTGGCTCACGCGGATCAAGACGCCGGATGACTCGGCCGCCGCAACACCCCCAACAAACTGTAGCACAGCCCCGTAAAGGAATGTGCACCCGGTGAGCGTGATGTTGATGGGGAGATGCAGCGGCATACTGTTGAGAGAGAACTTCAGTGCAGCACCCACGCCGCTGAATGTCACGCCCGCGTAGCAGTGGTGCGTCTTCCACATGTTCAGCGTGAGGTTCGTCAGCGTCTGGTTCACCACGCAGCTCGTGTCGCCGTCGACGGCTCTCTCCGGCAAGGGCGGCACAACCGTGTCGGGCACCTCGAAGGGAAGACACGACGCGCCATGCCATCCGTCCTTGCAGCTGCACGAGCACGAGCTGCGGTCCACCGACTCCGTCCCGGGCATGTAGCACGCCGCGTCGTCGTTGCATGTGCCGCACCTGAACACCACCACGTCCTCCGGAAACACGCCGTCGTACGACACCCCCTCATCGCCCCGCAGGTTGCACCCCACCACAAACCGCGCGGGTGACTCCACAACCGTTTTCGACAAAGCAATATCAGCAAAGGGATAACTATTGTCCACCTGACGGTTGTGTGCAAGCGCCACGGTGGTGCCGCTGCCCGACACCCGAATTATGTACGTTGATTTTGGCATAATTAATACCGAGGCTGCACTCACTTCGTTGCCCTCCACACGCCACTGCGCACCTCCCTCGAGAGTCACTGAGCTATCCAAATAAATCAGCGTGGAATCAAAAGGAAACGTGCTGCCAGCAAAAGAGCAGTCCGCCACTCGCAACAGCCCTGCGGAGTTTACGGTAGTACCCCCAAAAAGGTAAATCCCATTGGCACCGCTCATAGTATTGTTCTCGACGTCAAGGTAGCCGCCGTTCCCCACATCAAAGGTTTCAATATAAACAGCTGAATCCACATCGTCATCGTTCTCCGTTGCCCTCAGCGTATTTCCCTTCACAATGACCCCGCCACCATCAACAACACTATCGGAAAAAGAAATTGCGTAAATATTCGCCTCGATGTAGTTGTCAAGTAACAGCAGCGTCGAGTTCGCACCAAGAGTAAAGTCCCAAAAAGCAGTGGCGTGGCGAGACTTCGTCACAAGCGTACTGCCCGCCACCAGTATCTGGGAGCTCGCGCCGAAATCACCCTCAAACGCCAGCTCACCAGAATCCAATATCGAGGATGTCACGTTAACGTGCACGCGCGCTCCACTCCCCTTGACCGACAGGCCCATGAGGACGCACTGCAGCAGCGTGATGTTGAGTGTCTCTTGTGGTGCGTCAAAATGCGACAGGTCAAGCATAATCGCGGCGGTGAAGGTCACGTTAACGAAGCACAGACCACGCACACCGGGATCAGGACTGTCCACAGAGCTGACGCTGCCACCGTGCACGCAGCGGGCCTCCGTGTCCTTCGTGTCGGGGAGCGGGAGCGGCCCAAGGCCGTCCGGAACCGCAGCTGGCAGACAAGTGCCGCCGTAGCCGCCAGCAGCGCATACGCACTCACAGCCGCTGATGCTGCTCGTCCTCGCTGCGAAGCACACGGCGTCCATGGTGCAAACGCCACAGTCCAACACCGTCACGGGCATCCCAATATTAAGCTCTTCTTGGTAATCCGTCACAGGAGAGCCCCTTGCCTCGTTGCACACGCCGTAGATGATTGGGCGAGAGTCGGATGGTGGTAACCAAACGCTTGTCATACTTACAGTTGTTGACGAGTACGAGCCGTATGCGAAGTTGTTGTAAAGTATCGACCACACACTCTGATCGCGGAACGCCAAGCCGTAGTAGTTGGCCACGTACACAACGTGGGCCGTGTGGAACTCGTTGTCGCGGTGCACCAGCCAGCTGCCGCCAGTCACAGTCAGCGTTTCTGCAATGAGCATGGCGAAGCCGAGACGGAAAGTGCTGGACACAATCTGCAGCACGCTGCCGCCATCCACCGCAACGTCCCCAAACACACACGCGCCTTCGTGGAATTTACTACTCGGCGCACTCCACAAGCTGTTCTGTATGGAGAACACGGAGCCGCCGCTGACACGCAGGTCCGACGCAAGAGCGTACATCACATGCGTCCGCGACCTGACAGCGCAGTTGTCCATGTAAAAGACGCTGGACAGGTTCACGCCAAGGCCGCGCTCCACGAGGATCGCAGCGCACGAACCCCCGCCACACGCCAGCGTCGACCGCGTCATGACAAACCGCGTCGACAGAAGCCGGACGCCGTCCAGGACAAGCGCGGTGCCGTACCGAGATCCCGCATGGCCACGGGTCACCGGCACGTACTGCGACCCGCCAACCGTCGCGCGCAGTGTTGAGTTCGCCAGCAGCACACTCGAGTTCGGCGGCATCGCGCCATGCAGCACGATCGTGCCCTCCACCGACGTCACGTTCGTCATGTTGACGAGAACGTGGGGCATCAGGCGCGCCGTGCTCTCGCTGAGGCCGCCAATCCGCAAATGCACACCGCCCGCAAGCACGCAGTGGCGCAGCGTCACGTTCAGTGCGTCAGCGAACGCGTCCATCAAGCGCAGGTCCACCGCCACAGTGATCGGCCCGCTGAACACCACCGAGTCGAAGCACGCCGTCGCCCGCCCACCGCCAACCGTCACCGACTCCGTCAGCGTCACGCCACTCACGCAGCCCTCCACACCGCCACCACCGCCGCCGGCCCTCGCAGGCGGCACGTCGAACGGCAGGCACGCCTCGCCCACGCCGCCGGCACGGCAGCCGCACACGCAGTCGGAGAACGACGCGGTCAGTGCATCAAAGCACGCCAGCGCGGCCGCACAGCCGTCGCACGGCACCACGCTCACGGAGGGCAGGCCGGCCATGCGGTAGTCGCCGCTGCTCTGCAGCACTCGGCCGCCGGCACGGTTGCACTGCACCCACACGACGCCGCTCGTGACTGCCAGCCCGAAGACAAGCGTCACGCCAGTGGCAGCGCAGCGCGCAATCGAAACGGTGCCGCCGCTCAGCGTCACCCCCGACAGCGACGCCACCGACGACGCCTCGCCCACCGCCCACACGTCGTGCAGCTCCAGCCACCCGCCGGCACCGAACGTTCCACCGTCGCAGCGCACCAACGACGACGCGACAGACCCCTCGACGCCCACGAAGCGCAGCACTGAGTCGGACACCGCAAGGCGCTCTCCAAGCACAATGCCTCCGCCGCTGCTCACGACCGACACGTTCGTCACGGAGAACACCGAGTGGCTCCGCAGACTGAGACGCGACGAGGATGACACACGCATCGCGGATGCGGTCGGACCGCCCGACGCCTCCAGCAACACGCCGTCAAACACCACCGCGCTCGACAGCAGGTCCACACCGCCGCCAACGTGCACCGCCGACCCGCCCGGGTGCAACGACCTCAGCACAGTGTTGCTCACACGCAGCTGCGTCTGCAACAGCGACGTCGCGTGCAGCACAAGCGGCGACGCCACCGCGTCCGTCAGCCCGCTCAGCTGGGAGTAGTGCATCGGTCCCGGCGTCACAATCGTCGAGTCACAGACCGTCACGTTCGTGTGTGCCGGCAGGTTGTGCACAAACACGAGCGAGCAGTAGCTCCCGGACAGCCCACTCACGCTCACCTCCAGGCTCCGGTCACTCGCCGGCTCGCCGCTGTAGCCCCACACGTATATCTGCGCACCGCCGTCGCACACGCAGTTCCTCATTTCGATGCGCAGCGCGCCGGGAAGCATCGCCGCAACGTCGAACACAACAGCCACGCCGTTCGTGATGTACACGCCGTCCATCAGCACCGTGTCCACGGCGTGGCCAACCGTGATGGCTCTGTCCACCGTGCCGCCCCGCAGTCGCAACACCACCGCATGCACTGCGGGCATCCACGCCGCCGCCGCAACCAGCGCCAACACAACGAGCAGCGCCACACGCACTGCCGCAATGGCCCTGCACCGCACACGGTGCCGGCTGCGCGGACACGCACCCACCGCACACCACATCCGCAAACCCAATCAGATATCAATAGTAATTTATTAGTCTATCGCTCTCGCACCGTCGACCGTAACTCCTGCTTGGTAAATCCCTTTCTACAAATGGCAAATCCAGAAACACAATTCCGATAAATCGATATCCCACTACTACTAATCCTACTACTGCAATTAATTCCTAATAGCTTGAAACGATAGTTGTGCTGGTCAAGCCAAAGTATCTCTAACTGCACGCTCAGAATAAGAATAAAAGACAGCAACAACAGTAACCAAACACACTACCAGGCAGAGCCATCCGGCCACAGACAATCTCCACAAAAACACAGCCACCGACAAAAAGACGCGAAGACGCAATCACGCCAGTGACACCATCGCCCTCCCATCGCCCACGCAGTCCCACACAACTACCGTAGCGAGCGGCACGATCCCAACAAAAAAACACATGGCCATTGGCACCGCTCTTGTGGCCGAATGGCTTCATCACAGGGCAATCCCGATGCAGTGAACAACACACAAGTGCCGAGACAGACCCACGTGGCGGCGTCGCAACCGCCAGCCATCGAGCGCGTCCGAGGATGAAATGGTGACGCGGAAAAAGGGGTGGAGGATTCGCCGGTCGCC